CTCCTCCTCCTCCTCCTCCTTCTTCTTCTTCTTCTTCTTCTCAGTCTACTTTCCCTTGTAGAAACTTTAATTTCTCTTTTCATGCCAAGCATACATTTTTGGTTTTGTGTATCTATATAAAATGATTCATTATGAAAACTTATTTCATATCATCTGAAAAAAGTTGATTTTCTTTTATTACTTTCTTCTGACATATAGTTCTAGCTAAGAGAGCAAACAGTGAATCGAATTAGAATGGAGAGAGTGGACTCCCTTGTATTTCTGATTTTTATCCACTTAGCCACCTCAATGATGTTTGGTTTCATTAACTAACCATTCTTCATTTGAAAATATGCTGTTTGGTCTCCATGAATTTACACGTGTTCTGTAGTTTCTCTTGTGGTTGGTTTCTATATCTTTTGCCTCATCAGAAGCAGATAGAACACAAAAAAAGTATTTCCAATTCTCCCATATTGACATTTGTTTTGTATCATATGACCCATCTTAGAAGATGTCTCATGAACTACTGAGCAGAGTGAACATTTTGCAGGGTTTGAATGGGACTTTCAGCAGAGGTCTGGTAGGTCTATTTGATTTACACACAATATCATTGAACACGGGTGTTTCTCTCTTTATGTTTCATAGGTGTGGTCTGTCTGTTGGTACAAGGGATATATTCAAGTCACCTAGTTTTATTGTGTTGAGATTAATCTATTTTTACACATAGACGCATCTAATTCATGATTCTGTGTTGTGATGCATACATGTCTGCAATAGTATTATACTCTTAATTGACCCTTCCTTTAATCAGTATAAAGTGGCTTTCTTTTCTTTATCTCTTCTGGTTACTTTTAACTTGAAGTCTATTTTTATTAAATTTTGGATAGTGACATATGCTTGCTTTTTATAGTTCTTTGTGATTTAAGAGTTTTTGCCAATCGTTTCACCTTGAGTTTTCATTTGCCTTTGATGATGAGATGGGTTTCTATGGAGACAATAAGTAGATCAATTCTGTTTTGTAATCCTATCTGCCAATCTGTATGTTTGATTGTGTAATTAGTATCATTATTACTTTAATTGTTATTGAAGGATGTGTATCGATTCCTTTGTTTTGATTCTGTAGTTCTTGTTGGTTTCCTACTCTTCACTTCTTCACTGTGTATTCTTTGCCTCATGAAACGTTTATCTTTTTCTTTAGAATCTATTTTTCTTTCATTAAAAACAATTTTTTCTTACATAATGTATCCTGATTACAGATCTCTCTCAGTCTCTCTCTCTCTCTCTCTCTCTCTCTCTCTCTCTCTCTCTGTCTCTTTCTCCCCCCTCCCCATATTGCAATTCTTCCCTAACTCTTCTCCCATTTGAATTCACCCCATTTATGCCTCTCATTAGAAAATAAATGGGTGCAGTTGACTCAGAGGAATGCAGATATCCACAGCCAAACAATAAATGAAGGCTTGGGACACTTATGGAAGAATTAGGGGAAAGATTGTGGCCTCTAAGAGCATAGGAGCTCCACAGGAAGAATAACAAAGTCAACAAACCTGGACCCTTGGGGCTCTCAGAGACAGAACCATCAACCAAAGAATAGACACTGGCTGGATTTAGCCCTCCCTGCTCATATGTAGCAGATGTGCAACTTGGTCCTCATGTGAGTCCCAAACAACTGGATCAGGGGCTATCTCAAAAGCTGCTGTCTGTATGTGAGATATGTTCTTCTAGCTGGGCTGCCTTCTCTGGCCTGAGTGGGAGAGAATACACCTAGCCCTGAAGAGATTTGATGTGCTAGGATAGGGTGGTACACAGGGTGGGGGGACTCTCCACCCTCTCAGAGGAGAAGGGAAGCACAGGAAGGAGTGTGGGAGGGGATGACTGGGAGGAGGGGCATTGAATGGGATGTAAAGTGAATAGGTAGAAAAGAATCAAAGAGAAAACCAAACGAACAAAATAAAATAAACAGGCTCCTAAGGGATACCAATAAAATAAACTGAACATGGTTCTTCAGGAGGATGCGAATCTACCTCAAGACTCAGATATACCACTCTGTTTGTATATCTAAAGTGTGCTTCATCCTAATGTTGGTGTACTTGCTTAGCCATGTTCGTTGCTACTCTATTTACAATATCTAAAAAATTGGAAACAATCTAGATGTTTCTCAACAGATAACTGGATAATGGAAATGTGGTATGGTTACACAATAGAATATTACACAGCTGTTAAAAAGATGAAAGTATGCAAGTGATAACTAATTAGTTAGAACCAGAAAAAAACCACACTGAGTGAGGCAACCCAAACTCACAAAGACAAGCCTGACATGTATTCACTTATACGTGGACATTAGCTGCTAAGTCAATGATAACCAAGGTATAAACCATAGAACCACAGAGGCTATGCACAGAGTAAGTGATTAGAGAAGACAAATAGAACACTCTAGAAAAAATAAATAGAACACACAGTTATGGATAAAGAGTTGTATATATGAAAAAGAATAGTACAGCTACATTTTGAGGTAGATAAATTTCTATCTTCCTGAACAACAACCTGACGAATGACTTTTCATAGTGTCTTTTATACAATTGCATTCCCACAAGCAATGAAGGAGTATTTCCCTTGTTCCACATCCTGACAAGTATGGGCTGACACTTATTTTATTGATATAAACCCTTTCGGTGAGAGTAGGATAAAATCTCAAAGTGGATTCGGTTTACATTTCCCTAACAATTAAAGATGTTGAACATTTCTTTAAGTGTTTCTCAGTCATTTGAGTTTCCTCTTCTGACAATTCTGTTTATGTCTGCACCTCATTTTTATTGAGTTATTTTCTTTTTGCAGGTTGATGGTCTGTCCAAATGATGACATATTTTGCTGTGCAGAAAAATTTCAGTTTCACAAAGTCCCATTCATATTTTTTTCATTTTTAATGAGTTATTTTATTTATTTACATTTCAAATGTTATCCCCCTTCCCAGTTTCCTCTCCACAAGCCCCATATCCCCTCTTCTCTCTCCCTGACTCTATGAGGGTGCTCCATTACCCACTCACCCACTCTTGCCTCGGTGGCCTAGCATTCCTCTATCCTGGGTCATCAATTTTCCACTGGACTAGGGCTCCACTCCTAGTGATAGCAGATAAGTGATACATATAGAGCTGGAGCCACTGGTCCCTCCATGTGTACTCTTTGCTTGGTGGTTTAGTCCCTGGCAGCTTTGAGGGATCTGGTTGGTTGGTATCGTTCTTCCTATGAGGTTGCAAAACCCTTCAGCTCCTACAGTCCTTGCCCTAACTTCCCCATTGGGGTCCTCCCCCTCAGTCCAATGTTTGGCTATGTGCATCCACATCTGTATTAGTCAGGATCTGGCAAACCCTTTCAGGAGACAGCTGTATCAGGCTCCTGTCAGCAAGCACTTCTTGGCATCCTCAACAGTGTCTGGGTTTGGTGACTGCATATGGAATAGATCCGCAGGTGGGGCAGGCTCTGAATGGCCTTCCCTTCAGTCTCTGCTCCACTCTTTTCCCTATATTTCCTTTAGACAGGAGCAATTCTGGGTTAAAATTTTGGAGGTGGGTGTGTAGCCCCATCCCTCAACCAGGAGCCATGCCTAACCTCTAGATATAGTCTCTACAGGGTCTCCCTTCTCTTTTTATGGGTTACTTCAGCTGATGTCATCCTCATGGAGTCCTGGGAGGATCTTGCCTTCCTGGCATCTGGAACTTCCTTGTTGCTATCCCCAGTTCCCCATCTGCCATTGCTACACACCTCTGTTCAATCACTTGAACCTCTGCACATCTCCTCCATCTCCTCCCATACCTGATTCTTCCCCCTCTTTCCTCTATGCCTCTTCTCTCCCTCCCAAGTCCCTCCCACACTTTACTCCCACTGGTTATGTTGTTTCCCTTTTTAAGTAAGATGGAAACACCCATTCTTTGGTCTTCCTTCCTCTTGAACTTCATGTAGACCCTGAGCTATATAGCAGGTATTCCATGCTCTTTGCCTAATATCCACTTATCTGTGAGTACATACCATGTGTGTTCTTTTGTGACTGAGTTACCTCACTAGATGATATTTTTCTAGATCCATTCATTTGTCTGTGAGTTTAATGATGTCATTGTTTTTTAATAGCTAAATAGTATTCCAGTATGTAAATGTACCACATTTTCTGTATCCATTCCTCTGTTGAGGGACATCTGGATTGTTTCCAGGTTCTAGCCATTATAAATATGGCTGCTATGAAAAAAGTGGAGCATGTGTCCTTATTACATGTTGAAGCACATTCTAGGTCTATACCCAGGAGTGGTATAGCTGGGTCCTCAGGTAGTATTATCTCCAAATTTCTGAGGAACTGCCAGAATGATTTGTACAGTGGTTATACAAGCTTGGAATTTCACTGGCATTGGGGCAGTGTTCCTCTTTCTCCACATCCTCGCCAGCAT